GTCCACTGACATAGCCATTACGCTAACTGTTTGTCCCGGTCCTTTTCTTTTCTAAAGCAGGCAGTATTCCTCTCCCAGCTCATTGGCCCATACCTGGTCTCCTGGTCACAGCTAGCTGCAAAGGAGTCTGGGAAACGTCATCTCTAGATGAGCATCCCTGCACACGATGAGAGCTCTGTGGACTGCTCCTAGACGAAGGCAGGGATGCTTGCTGGGAGGGCTGGCTATCACTGCCCTGTGCTCGCATGGCCACTGCGGCTTCCCCTGGAGAAGCGGAGTTTATGCTTCCCATGGCACTGGGCACAGGGAACCTCTTGTTGCTGACCACAGGCACCAGCTGCTGTGGTAACCAGGCTGGCTGGCTGGTGCTACCATAGTCATTTTTTCTTCTCTACCCTTTGCATTAACAAATTCTCTAAATGACCAAGCTGGTGGGAAAAGTTCTGTGGACTGCATACCTCCGTCTCTTGGTCACTTGTTCTAATATTGAGTTAGTCTCCAGAGCACAAGCCCGGGCCTCCCCTGGAGGCTTGCCGCCATGTTCCGTACTGCCTAGGATTAGTGTGAGGACGGAGGGAAGAATGGACGTGAAGCACAGAGCCTGGCATGGGGTAGAAACAAGAGCCTCTAAGAGCCCAGACAGCAGACCGGGTCAGGTGTGGAAGGGAGAAGCCTCCCTGGACTGGTTCTGACCCTACCGCACCGGGTCTGCCCCAGAGCCAGCAGACCCACCACACCAGCTCGGGGTGCACGGGGAAAGTCTGGTTAAATTCATTCTTTCCATGCCTTGCAGTACAAGCAGCCCCCAGGCTGGTACAGACGTCCCACACCCACCCTCTCCTGGTTTATGCCTTCCTAGGTAGGGCCGACGTCCTGGGACACAGGTGTAGCCAGTTAGACGCACAGCTCGCGAGCCAGGGGCTCAGGACTTCCCTCCCGCCCGGTCCTGTGGAAGCCTGCTCGGGCAGTGCTGGCTCCGCACTCTGGCTTGTAGGAGGCGGAGGCTCGGGGATGATCTTCACGTCCATGTGGCCCTGGTTTAGAATCTAGGGTGCCTTGGCTGGGATTCCTGCCTTTCAGAGACACCTTGGCCAGGTTAAGAGCTCTGCTCTGATAGTTTCCATGACAACCCTGGGAAGCCTGGACCGCCCAGCGGGAGGCCCATCGCGTTAGCTGGATAACGTGCATGAAAGAGCGACTCATACCTGGCACCCAGACCAAAGCGTGAGCTCACCAGGCGTGAGCCGCGCCAGCCTTTTAAGTAGGTACGAGCGGCTTTCTTCCAGGCTGTGAGAGCGTCCTGCTTGTAATTAACGTCATCCCTCATGTCTGTCTAGTACCCACAACACCCTAAGGGGGACTTTGTCATTATTTCGTAAATGAGTAAGAGACAGGGCTTAATCAGATCTCAGGGGTTCTTATTTTGGGGACTGCTTAACTGGAGCAGATGTTTGCTTTTCGCTAGCCAGCATGATGTCAAAAGTCAGAAAAAAGGCAGAGAGGAGTGATGAAGGAGGGTGAGAGGAGGGCGAGCGGGAGGGAGGAAGGGCAAGTGAAGGTGGTGGAGGGTGTGGGGCGTCCTCGTTGGCGACTTGTATTATTTTGTAATTGTGTTATTTCGTGGATATTAAAGACCTCAACCCTTCCCACGATAGACGCGGAATCTGAGGACACAGGTGACGGGAGTCCTAGTGGACGTCGGGGCTCTGCTCACCAGCCCCCGGGGTCATTTCCACTCCCACAGCCCACCACCTCAGCACGGCCACATGCGGAGACCGGGGACAAGGCCACAGCGCCACGCTGGCCACCCTGTGTCACTCTCCTTCCTGTTCGTAGCGCAGACTTCCCCTCCCCGACGGTGTTCGAGGCTCTGGAGACCAGCCTTTCTCACCTTTGGCCTTTCCAGCTACAGTAAAATATGGATCGAGTATTAACAAGTGTCATCGAACCATCAAAACACATGCATGGGGGGAAGCAGGTGGCATGGTGGTTAAGACACTGGTTTCCCACAAGGCCAACTGCAGTTCAAGTTCCAGATCTGAGATCTTGAAAATCATGCTGGGTGTGTGTGTGAACCCAAAATCCCAAGAGAAGAATAAAGAAGAGGGGATTACAGTGTGGTCATTTCCCCTGGGGCAATTTCTCACTTTCCCTCTCTCTACCTCTGGGGAAAGCACTCTAGGGGGAAAAAAAAAGAACCAAATTATTACTGTTTTAATTAAGACTTCCAAAATACTGGCTTATTAGTTTTATTGAGAGATTTTTGCTACAAGGCGTACATTCTCACCAGAGAGACAAAAAGTGAGAAATCACCCCCTGGGGAATGGCTACACCACAACCCTCTCTCCTTCACTTTCTTCTTGGGATTTTGGGCACAAACACACATGTACCCGGCGTGAGTTTCAAGCTGCTAGGTCCAGGACTGAAAATGCAGTTGGCCAAGGGGAGTCCAGTGACATAACCATTATGACATCTGCTGGTTCTTGGCTTATTACAAAAAATATTTCTTCTCATGATAAAATGAAAATACACATATCTCTAAAATCGCTTACAGTATTTAATATTAAGTATAGAGGATTTTAGAACACCAAATGTATTTATTTAAACAGAATGAAGATAATTATCAAAATTTGAGAGTTTTTTTTGTTTTTTTTTTTTGTTTTTTTTTTTTGTTTTTAGGTTTATGGATGAGTTTTTTTGGAGAGGTGTGTGCGCTCGCCAGAAAGACAGACAGAGAGACAGAAAGCGAGAAATCACCCCCCAGGGGAGATGGCCATGCTGCAATCCCTTCTCCTCCATTCTCCTCTTGGGATCTTGGGCACGCACGCACACACGCCCGGTGTGAGTTTCAAGCCACCGAGTCCAGGACCCAAACAGCAGTCAACTACATGAGAATCCAGCAACATAGCCATTACGCTAACTGCTGGTCCCAAATTTTGGGAGTTTTTAATTTTTTAAAGATTTTAGAATATTAGGCATTCAAGGTCTCTTTTCATCCTTTCTTTAGTCCTTAGCCTACACAGATAGATGATCTACACCTGAGGAAAAAGCTTAAACTCTCTTTTACTTACAGGTTCAAATGATAAGTTAAACCTTAAACCTACTGTAACCATTCAAAGTCATAATGCAAACTAGTTTTTAAAATCCTTATTATAAATGAAAGAATGTTCAACATAAAACAGAGTGAGGAAGGGAAAAAGGAAGGTGAAGAGAGAGATGAAAACCAAGCACAGGAAAATCCTTTTTTAGCAAAACTTTCTTCAAAGACTCTTTATGTCCACTCCCTATGAAGTGATTAAATGCTTCCTACTTTAACATTATTCCAGCTCTAGTTATTTCCATCTTTTGCCAAGCACATATAAATAAGATCTATTCATCTATATACAAATAAAAAGAAGCAAGATTTCGAAACCAACATTTCATCAAGCGAGTTAGTAAAACTGTTCATAAACAGTGAGTATTTCTATATTGAAAGAGGCTTATGTTATTTTTTAAAATATAAAATGTTTAGATTGTTCTATTTTCATTGTAATCCTTTCTTTTTAAAAGTTTACTTATTTCTTCCATGAGAGATAGTGAGACAAAGAGAGACAGGCACCCCACAAGGACTTCATGCCAGCTAGGATCATGGGTAAGCACACATGCATACTTGGGCATATATAAGGGAGACCTCAGGAAGTGAACTCTGACCTTCTGTGTGGCTTCAGCACTGCAGAGCACTGTATTATTGCTATGGCATTATGCTGGCTTTTTATTACCCTTTTTGTAAGTAACCCTCATAAGAATATATATGTCACATGTAGCAGGTCCTATTTATAACTACCTCAATTACTTTGCAACAGAAAGACAGCAATGGTATAAAATATTCCCAAATACCGATTATAGGAAAATTAAAATATTTAATGTTTTAAAACCATCAAATTAAAAAAACACTCTCAGATTAGTATTATATAATATTTTACCTGCATTTGTAAGACTGCATCTGTTTGTAACAAAGTAGTTTTTGCTTGGGCATCAAATACGAATGGATACGTACAGATTGTAACAGGGATATCTGCCAACTGGAAATAAAAAATTAACTGATTAGTATAAGTAGATCTGTGATATATTATTCAGGATGCTGCCAATTCTTGCAAAGTTGATCACATTCTTGGCATACTAATTTGTGAATAGGGAATCATAAATAAAACATGTTTATTTCTAAATATGGAATTTTTATTGATAATTACATGAGGCATTGGAATAAACCCAATTCCCAATTTTAGGAAAAAACTATATACTTGAGAGTCCATAAAACTGTAAACTACAGGTACCTTTTGCTTAGCATTTATCAACTTCAAGTGTCAATGAATTAAGCTGCAAATTTTTTCTGAAATTGTGAGCTCCTATGTTCAACCCAGTGCCCAATTCTTATAGATAAGGGCTACTACAGCACCTGATGCTAATGATAAGTAATTCTGTTATTTCATTTAGTAGATATTCACTGAATGCCAAAATTACTGTGAGTCCAACCATCTGTTCATTCATTAAACATACAAAACAAACACCATTAGCATTTTTAGAAATTTATTTTATTTTATTAATATTTTAAAATTTTTGCTATAGGGCACGTGTGCTCACTAGAGAGAGAGAGAGAGAAAGCCGCCAGGTCCAGGCCTTGAACCATAGTCAGTCATGTGGGAGTCCAGTATCTCAATCACCATGCCACCTGCTGGTCCCACTACTGGTATTATTATTCTCTGTTAGCCTCTAAAGTTAGGAGAACTTATCTATTATTATTATCAAACATTAACAATATATAGACAATTATTTATCCTAGGTAATGCAATAGTTGACCGCTAAGTTATTTTAACAATGCAGTAAAACAGAGTTATGGGGACCAGCAGTTAGCATAATGGCTATGTTGCTGGACTCCCATGTAGTCGACCGCGGTTTGTGTCCCGGACCCAGTGGCTTAAAACTCACGCCAGGCGCGTGTGCGTGCATGCTCAAGATCCCGAGAGAACAGAGAAGGGATTGTGGCATGGCCATCTCCCCTAGGGGATGATTTCTCGCTTTCTGTCTCTCTCTTTCTGGCGAGCATACGCACCCTATAGCAAAAAAAAAGAAAGAAAGAAAACAGAGTTATGAACTGCCAGTCACCCATTCTTGCCCTGGGAAGAAAATTCAGTTTTAATCATCTACCAAGAAGACAGTATTTCTGTGCAACCCTGACACAGATCCCTTGTTTTAAGGCTTCCAATAAAGAATTACTACATAATATGCCATAAAACAATTCCTTTTTTTAAAAGTTTTTTTTTGGCCATAGGGCACATATACTTGCTCAAGAGAGAAAGAAAGAGGCAGAAGGAAAATGAGAAATCACCTCCCAGGAGGGACAGCAATGCCATAATCCCTTCTCCTTTTTCTCCTCTCAGAATTTTGGGCATAGACACACACATGCCTGGCATGATTTTCAAGACACTGGGACTGGGACTCAAAACTGTGGTCAGCCATGTGGGAGTCCCACACCTTAATCACCATGCCACCTGCTGGTTCTAATAATTCACTTATGTTTAAGTAATTAGAAAGTTCATCAAATTGAGGTCAAATCTCCTTTTCTACACACTGTATATCACTTAGTCTTTGTTTTTGCCCTAACAGGGAAACATAAGAGATTTACCTATTTCAAGTACCAACCATGCTCTCTCAATGGTCTTATCGTTTGTTTTTATATGCTAACATTCGTTTTTCAAGCCATTCTGAAATAGGGTTTCGTAATCTTTTTCATCCTTTAAAAGATGTATTTCAATGTGTTTAGACACATTGACTATAGCCACCAAAACCAAATTAACCTAATATTGCCCAATCACAATGTGCTAAGTTATATGCACCTTACAGTAAATTGTCACTATTCAATAGTTTTCATGTGATAAAGTTTTTACCTTCATTCTGCGTTTGTGTCATTACTTAGCAATTAAGAATACAAAGTAATTTTACTTCTCTGATATTCAAGAAGATTTAGATAGTCCCTCCTTAGCTTCAAAAATACATGTTTTCTTTCTTTTTAAAGTTTTTTAAGTGGTTTCCCGACATAAGGCATGTGTGCTTGCCAGAGAGATAGAGATAGTGAGAAATCACCCCCCTGGGGGGAATGGTCACACTTCAATCTCTTCTCCTCCATTCTCCTCCTGGGATCCTGAGCATGCACATGCACACCCCCAGTGTGAGACCCTGCACATGCACCCCCCCAGTGTGAGTTAAAAGCCACTAGGTACGGGACTTGAACCATGGTCAACCACGTGGGAGTCCAGTGACACAACCACTACACCATCTGCTGGCACCCAAAACTACATGTTTTCATAATCTTATGTACTTCTATCTATGAATGAGGAAGTAAACAATATTTAGACCTATAATTAATTAATTATTTTATTTAAAATTTTTTAAGAGAGATTTTTGCTACAGGGTGCATGCACTCACTGGAAAGATGGAAAGCGAGAAATCACCCCCTGGGGGTATGACAACACCACAATCCCTTCTCCTCTTGGGATCTTAGGCATGTATGCACATGTGCCTGGCGTAAGTTTAAGTCACCAGGTATGGGACTTGAACTGTAGTCGACTATGTGGGAGTCCAGCAATGTAACTATTATGCCATCTCGTGGTCCCTAGACCTATAATTTAAAGTTAACTTAAATTGCTTCTTGGTTCAAGTGCTTGGAAAAGCATACCAAACAAACAACAAAAGCAAAACAAAACCCAAAATGTGTAACAGATAAAAGTATTTGTACTTTAATTCTATTTTCCCAAAAACTTTGAGAAGTTTCCTCATATAGATATAATGCTAACCAAAACAGGTTTTAAGTTTTCTTTAAAAATTTTTTCTGATATGTCATATAAAATTATTTTTATAGACTCAATTTCAAAAATGACAAAATATACAAATCTATAGATTATATGTAAAAAACACACTTTTTTTTTTCACACGAAAGAGAAACCTTTGGCTCATCCATCTCTTGGGACAAAACAGAGTATATCTTACTCTGATCATGAGACTTTTTTATACCAAACTTACCTCAGTTAATCCATGGTTGACATCCTAAGTCAGCAGTGCAGAATGTAACGAGGAAAGAGCATGTTAGTGTCCAGATTTAACTATTTCTATTCAAAGTAGCATGCGACATATTTTGCTACAGCAGAATATTGAATTATTGAGGTAGAAAATACAGCTACAAAAAAACTTACCATTTCCACAGACACCTCTATACCTACCTATAAATGTATGACCTTTGTTCCAGGTACCTTGTGATTATAAAATTACTGAGGTCTGAACATAATAAAATTTGGTTTCAGCAATTAAGCACCTCCCATTTACAGAATTTAAGTAGAATAGGAAAACTAATACTAAGCCTGACTTGGTCTTAAAGAAAACATTTTATGGCTTAAGTTTCCCTACCTGGAAAATGGAGAAAATCATTCCTAAAGTTTTAAGATTTAGTTAATTTTGACAAACTATTTAAAATGTTCAGTACATTAAAAGGCAATGGAAATAAAGAAAAATAAGCTATAAATTGTTTTAGACAGAAATAACTAGTAAATTATATGGTATCTTAAATTAGGCATTTTTAAAAATGAATTAACCTAAAATAGAAAGTAATGGACACGGCATAGGGATTGGTAAATAGAAAAAAGAAATGAAGAAAGGTGTATTTATGGCTGAAATCATAATGAAAGTTTACCACTTCATTGAACAGAAATGTACACTTTCTTGAAGAAAGCTTCCATGTATGATCAGGGTATGAACTCTTATAAAGTACTAGATTCTCCAGAAATATGTACTAAGTTTGTGGATGATGCCTTGTGTAGTGAACACTTAATCTTATCCAAAGAGAAAGCTTTGCTACTGGGAGGTGATCTATAGATCTTTAGAAAGTCATGCCTGGTAGAATGTCTTTGGCGGCTTTCACCATTGAAGGATCTAACAACGTGATCTGTGAGAGGTGCTCAGGTCCTGTGACATCTACCACCTCTAGAGGAGTAGGAGACTAAGTCAGGTCAGTGACATACGCAGGATATGACTGAGCTGCAACTAAAAACCCTGGGCATCAGGGTTCAGGTGGGCTTTCTTAGTTGGCAATGCCCTGTAAGTACTATTATAAATAGAAGGCAGGAAAGTAATCTGTTATCTACAGGGCAAGAACAATAGAAGCTCTGCCTTTACTACCTCTCCCAGACTTTACCTCATGTGCTGATTTTAATGTGTATCCTTTCCCTGTAATAATGTGTAATAGTTTTCTGTGAGTTCTCTGAGGCCTTGTAGCAAATTATCAAAAAAATAGTTTGAAGAACCCCCAAACTTATAATTTATAACAGAAGTGAGGGCAGTTTTGTATGGATTGCTCTAGCTCTACAGTTGACTGAATTCTCATCATTAGAACCTCTAAGATACTAGTAATGGCTTGGGGTTCTTTCACTATATTATGCTCATAAATGAGCCAAAGCATTCTAAGTCAGAAGCAAAATATGACTGTAAAGGTCTTATTCTAAGAAAGGAAATTACTGATAACAGATTCTTCAAAAGAAAAATGCAGAGTGCCAAGGCCAATAGCTGGCATGGTGGACTCCTACATGGCCAACCCTGGTTTGCGTCTTAGACCTGGCAGCTTGTTTTCTCTCTCTCTCTCTCTCTGTGAACTACAGCAAATTAATAATATAATTAAATAAATGATTTTTTTTTTAATTCAGAGTATCACGTTATTTTTATGTAAGTAGTCCTACTAGCAGTGTTAAGAAGGGTTTAGAGGCTATTTTTTTTTTTTTTTTGGAGAGGTTTTTGCTATAGGACACATGCGCTCGCCAGACAGACAAAGACAGAGAGACACAAAGCGAGAAATCACCCCCCAGGGGGATGGCCACGCTGCAATCCCTTCTCCTCCATTCTCCTCTTGGGATCTTGGGCATGCACGCACACGCGCTTGGCGTGAGTTTTAAGCCACCGGGTCCGGGAAGCGAACTGCGATCGACTACATGGGAGTCCAGTGATATAGCCATTACGCTAACTGCCGGTCCCTAGAGGCTATTCTGGAAAAAAAAAGCCTTTTAGATTACACTCTGTCTAACTGGAAGGGAACTTGAAGGGACACTGAAAATCCTTTTATGTCTCATGGGATCTTCTTTTTCTTTTCTTTTTTTACAGATTACTTTTTAGAATTATTTCATTTTTTTAAAATTTATTCGTTCATTTGTTTTAATTTGACCAGAGAGAGACACACAGAAAGAGAGAGAGAGAAAGTGCGAAAGCAAGCCACCAGGTCTAGAACTCAAACCGTGGTCAGCCATGTGGGAGCATCCAGCGCCTTAACCACCACACCACCTGCTGGTCCCAAGGGATCTTCTTTTTCTGAAAGACTTTTTTGGTATTTTTGGACTTGTGCACACATGTGCCTAGTGTGATTTTTCAAGCTGCAGCATTCAGGACTTGAACTATGTGGTTGGTCATGTGAGATCCAGCTCCCTTAACCACCAGGCCATGGGATGGCCCAACTTTATTTATTTACTTATTTTTGGTGGGACAGTTTTAGGCTCACTTAAAATAAAAATATACAAGTTTCCCACATAACCTCTGTTTCCACATATACGCAGGATCCCACCTTATCAACATCCCTCTTGCAGGACATTTTAAAGGTCCTATTATTACTACTAAGAAAGTTCTGTGTGTATAGTAGGTATGTACGAATGAAAATGCAGAGAGACAGGCATCTTTTTGGACTGCAAATGGCATTATAAACTGGAACAGATACAGAAAAAAACAATCTAGCACTATACTTCACTACCTTCTGACTTAGGAATTCCCATAAGGAAGCAGAATTTCTCCTAAAGAAATATTCCAAACTATGGTCTAAAATTAGCAAAAAATAGGACCACTTTATTTGGACTATTAACTAGCTAGTTAGAATAACTCTTATCTAGCCTTTTCTGTATGCTTCAGGAACTGTGCTAAAAACATTTAAATACATTATCCCATTTAAAACTCATTAACAACCTTATGGTATAAATACAGTATACATACAATCTGAGTTAACAATGGTTCGAGTTGATTTTTCAGCTTTACAAAGGATACTTCATACTTTGAATACCCATTCGAGCATTTCTTTTTACTTTTAGTATAGCATTCAATAAATTACATGAGATATTTGACTTTTTTTTTATAAAATAGACTTTTTGATAGATGACTATGTCCAAATGTAGTCTAATGTAAATATTCTGAGCACATATAAGATAGGCTGACCTATGTTATAATCGTTGGGCAAGTAAGTTTCTTTTTTTCTTTCCCTCCTTTTTTCCCATCATTCTTTCTTCCATGAGCCAGTGAGAGGGAGAGAGACACTGCCCAAAGGGTCTTTCGTTTGATGATCCACCCCTGCCTTCAGCCAGCCCTAGATCATGGGCGTGCCTGCCCTCCAGGTGTTCAGGGAAGTCTCCAGATGTGAACATGGAATCCTCTCCTGTGGGTCAGCCTCACAGAGCACTGCATTACTGTTGTGCCACCATCCGGCTCCCAGGGAGGTTTATTTTCACCTTTCAATGGGCTTATCAGGACATAACCCCATTATAAGTTGAGGAGGATATGTACATTTATATAAGATGATCATAAAAACATGTAAGTGACCACTGGGCTTCTTAAAAAAATGCTTTTCATTTAAAGTAAGTCCTTATGTCATTCCAGAATAATTCTCCAAGGGCTAGAATGCCCTAGGTGGTGTGTCAGGGTTTATATGTAGAGTCTTTAGATAAACAAGGTTCATTTCCGGAAGCACCACTATTCCTTGATGGTAAATAAATTCCTTTTTATATTAAAATAAGCTTATACTATGTCCAATAGGATACAAAATTAACATATGTTTAAAAAAAAAAAGAGTACTTCGGGACCAGCAGTTAGTATAATGGCTATGTCGCTGGACTCCCACGTAGTCGACCACGGTTCGAGTCCTGGACCCAGTGGCTTAAACTGACACTGGGCACTTGTGCATACATGCCCAAGATCCCAAGAGGAGAATGGAGAAGAGGGGATTGCACATCCGTGGTCAGCCATGTGGGAGCATCCAGCGCCTTAACCACCACACCACCTGCTGGTCCCAAGGGATCTTCTTTTTCTGAAAGACTTTTTTGGTATTTTTGGACTTGTGCACACATGTGCCTAGTGTGATTTTTCAAGCTGCAGCATTCAGGACTTGAACTATGTGGTTGGTCATGTGAGATCCAGCTCCCTTAACCACCAGGCCATGGGATGGCCCAACTTTATTTATTTACTTATTTTTGGTGGGACAGTTTTAGGCTCACTTAAAATAAAAATATACAAGTTTCCCACATAACCTCTGTTTCCACATATACGCAGGATCCCACCTTATCAACATCCCTCTTGCAGGACATTTTAAAGGTCCTATTATTACTACTAAGAAAGTTCTGTGTGTATAGTAGGTATGTACGAATGAAAATGCAGAGAGACAGGCATCTTTTTGGACTGCAAATGGCATTATAAACTGGAACAGATACAGAAAAAAACAATCTAGCACTATACTTCACTACCTTCTGACTTAGGAATTCCCATAAGGAAGCAGAATTTCTCCTAAAGAAATATTCCAAACTATGGTCTAAAATTAGCAAAAAATAGGACCACTTTATTTGGACTATTAACTAGCTAGTTAGAATAACTCTTATCTAGCCTTTTCTGTATGCTTCAGGAACTGTGCTAAAAACATTTAAATACATTATCCCATTTAAAACTCATTAACAACCTTATGGTATAAATACAGTATACATACAATCTGAGTTAACAATGGTTCGAGTTGATTTTTCAGCTTTACAAAGGATACTTCATACTTTGAATACCCATTCGAGCATTTCTTTTTACTTTCAGTATAGCATTCAATAAATTACATGAGATATTTGACTTTTTTTTATAAAATAGACTTTTTGATAGATGACTATGTCCAAATGTAGTCTAATGTAAATATTCTGAGCACATTTAAGATAGGCTGACCTATGTTATAATCGTTGGGCAAGTAAGTTTCTTTTTTTCTTTCTCTCCTTTTTTCCCATCATTCTTTCTTCCATGAGCCAGTGAGAGGGAGAGAGACACTGCCCAAAGGGTCTTTCGTTTGATGATCCACCCCTGCCTTCAGCCAGCCCTAGATCATGGGCGTGCCTGCCCTCCAGGTGTTCAGGGAAGTCTCCAGATGTGAACATGGAATCCTCTCCTGTGGGTCAGCCTCACAGAGCACTGCATTACTGTTGTGCCACCATCCGGCTCCCAGGGAGGTTTATTTTCACCTTTCAATGGGCTTATCAGGACATAACCCCATTATAAGTTGAGGAGGATATGTACATTTATATAAGATGATCATAAAAACATGTAAGTGACCACTGGGCTTCTTAAAAAAATGCTTTTCATTTAAAGTAAGTCCTTATGTCATTCCAGAATAATTCTCCAAGGGCTAGAATGCCCTAGGTGGTGTGTCAGGGTTTATATGTAGAGTCTTTAGATAAACAAGGTTCATTTCCGGAAGCACCACTATTCCTTGATGGTAAATAAATTCCTTTTTATATTAAAATAAGCTTATACTATGTCCAATAGGATACAAAATTAACATATGTTTAAAAAAAAAAAGAGTACTTCGGGACCAGCAGTTAGTATAATGGCTATGTCGCTGGACTCCCACGTAGTCGACCACGGTTCGAGTCCTGGACCCAGTGGCTTAAACTGACACTGGGCACTTGTGCATACATGCCCAAGATCCCAAGAGGAGAATGGAGAAGAGGGGATTGCACATGATTTCTCGCTTTTTGTCTCTCTCTGACTTTCTGGCAAGTACACACACCCTATAGCAGAAATCTCTCCAAAAAAAAAAAACAGTACTTCCAAACTTGTATCACAGAGGGGAAGTTAAAAACCTTAGCAAATAATTCTTCATTCAAAGTCTCAAGAAAAGGTTTTTTTTCTCCCACCTGTACAGGAGCTCTGGTGAAAGCCTGAGCTTTGCTCAGGTCAGAGGTTTAGTCCAAATAGGGAAGAAGGAATATTTATATTTATTAAACTTTCCTGGATGGGGCCAGCAGTGGTGTGGTGGTAAAGGCACTAGACTCTCACATGGCTGACCACGGTTTGTGTCCAGGACCTGGTGGCTTGCTTTCTCACCACAAACCCCACCCTACATCTCTCCCTAGTCAAATTGAAAAATAATAGTATTAAAGAAAGAAAGAAAATTAAAAACAAAAACAAATATTTCTGATTTCAATGATTTTCTTAAAAAAAAAAAAAAAGAACAACTATCCCTTGACTCTGGCTACCACTTCAATTTTTTGTTCCTCTTCAACCAGAACTTCTTGAAAGTACTGCCCTGTGGTGATGGTTCCAAAAGGTTCACTCTCAAATTTATCTTTAAAACTCCCTAACCCCAGGATGACATTATCAACATTACCAATGACCTTTATATAACCATGTTTACCGCTCAATTCTATGGTTTCGTCCTCCTCCTTGAGAGATTTCAATACAATCTCACCCTTAGTTTATAAATTTTGGTTTCTTCAGTACTCTCCTAACTTTCCTCCTACCTAGTCTGCCACACCTATAATCTCCTTTGGAGATTTCTCTCCTCTTTTTACCAATCCATCAGTAATTCTTGTCTCTTTTATCAGGTATTCCAAACCTATATCTTTATTTCACCTACACAGCCACTCTAGTAAACCCATAATTTTTTTCTCCCCATATCTACTAAAATAGCCTTTTCATTCATCTCCTCCTTTTACTTTTGTCTGGTTTTCCATATACCATTCTCCATATAGCCAATAAAGCAATTACCCCAAAATATAAATCAGATTATGTTGCCCCTTATTTACCACCCACCATTGGCTTTCTATAACACTTCAGATAAAACCCAAATTCCTGAGGCCACAATGTGAGTGCAGTGGTAAAATGTGATGCTCTGTGAGGCACTGGGAAAATTCCCAGTTCAGGATCCTGCTGTGGTGCTGTCTGTAAATCTGTCTCTATGTATTGCTCCTGCTCCTGGCTTCTGCCCACTTCTCTGATTCCTTCCCAGAAATCTCACTGCTGTCCTATTTTAGCCATATTGGCCTCTTTCTATCCTTTATATACATCAAGCTTGTTATCACCTTAAGGTCTTTTACTAAATGTTCGTTTTTCTTGAAATTCTCTGATCTTACTTCTCGTCTCTGATCTATTTCTATCCTTGTCATTCAGAATGCCACTAATACTTCATCAGACAAGTCTTTTCTGATTACTCAATGTTTTCCTTTTTAGGTTTATTTCTTCCATGAGTAAGAGAAACAGAGAACAAGCACACCAACAACAGGGTCCTGACACTGTAATCTACTACCAGCCTCAGCCAGCCCTGGTTCATGGGCACATGTGTCTCTGGCAGACTCAAGGAGATTTCTAGACAGGTATTCAGAATGTTGCCATGTAGGTCAGCCTCTCAAAAGGTTTCATTTTACCACAGTGCTACTGTCTGCCCTTCTTGAGCATCTCAAGAAACCAGGCACTACTGTACTTTCTTAGTAACTGCTAGACATATTCTAGACACTATCGCAGGTGCTAGTGAATAAAATGGCACAGTGCCTACATACAAGAAGCATAAGGCAGACGCCTAGAAAGCAATAAAAGTTTACTCACCCTTCTACAATCATTGCATATTAAATTACTTTCTTTGGGGGCGGAAAAGTTGGCTTCAAATATATTAACATGGCTAAATAAGAGTATTAAATCTATTTTATATCTATTTGCTCATTTATACACTAAAATTTTATGTGCCTGATTCAAATTTTCTAAGACCATGCTACTATTTAAATGGAACTGTTAAGTATGAAGTTATTAAAGACTTATCCACGTGAGAAGTATATGTATACCTGTAGATGTGTATTTTAAAAATCAGAAATAAAATCAAGGATATAAAAGGGGGAAAAAAAAAAACAACCCAGAACCAGTGGTGCTAGGGTTCTCTTCTGGCAGTTCTGAAGCACTGATCTCATAATAATAATGTATCCTTTTTATTTATTTATTTTTAAATTGCCAGGGGCACACACAACAGAAAGACAGAAAGGGAGATCCCCAGTGGGGCACGATAATGCTGCAATCCCCTTTCCTCCATTTTTCCATCCCATCAGGATTTGGGACATGCATCCACAGTACCTGACACTTTTTTCAAGCTGCAGGGCCTGGAACTCAAACCACAGTCAAACATGTGGAATCTGGCTCCCTATGCACCAGGTTACTCATGATGCTATGGGCTGGCCCACTAATGCATTCTACTTTTTTGCAGTGTGTTACTACTTAAAAAATAAGCTCTGAATAAAAGGTTAAAAAAACCCTTGGTGCTTCAAAATCAAATGATTATTTTTTGAGTATTAGAACAAATAGTATATAAAAATGAAATCACAAAATACATAGAAAACTTACCATTCCATAGGCCTGCTGCTGGACCCAGTTGATATAATCATTCCTTATGTCTATCAATTCTTGTACTTCATGTATATAAAACTTATCATACTGTATAATCTGTCCTGTTTTCTCATTTACCTACAAAATAATTACAAGTATAATTAACATTAAATTTACCAACACCTAACAAAGAGATTGAAAAATGTTTAAATATACCAAATGCCTACGATATGGAGTCTTCAAAAAGCTTATGGAAAATACAAAACATGCATGGATTTCAAAAATTTTTGCACCAAAATAAATTTGTACTTTAATTCTGTTTTTTAACAATTTGTTGAAGCCTCTTCACACACACAAAATGCTAGTTAAAAAGTAATTATTGAGTTCCTACTACATACAAAATGCTAGTTATTAAATGCTATGGGAGACAAAGATTCATATAAAATGTGTTATCTACATAAAGTAACTCAAAAACCTAGTAGAAAAGAAAAACATGAATCCCCTTTTTAAAAGTCTTTACTATAAAACATGTACACTCACCAGAAAGAGAGAAATCATCCCCTAGGGTGGATAGCCATGACATAATCCCTTATCCTCCATTCTCCTCTCAGGATTTTGAGCTGCATGTACACATGCCCAGCATGTTCTTTAAATCACCTAATCTGGACCTCTAAATATGCAGTGGACCATGTGGGCTCTAGACATTTTACCTTTCAGTCACCTGCTGGCCCCCTAAAAAAGTGAATGTCTTTACAACCACAACACAGTAGGAGATGTGTACCATTAAAAGTATGTATTAGTGAGGCTAGCAAATCACGTGGTGGTTGAAATGATGGACTCCCACATGGCTGACCACATTTCAAGTCCCAGACCTGGAGGCTTGAAAATCACACCAAGGGCCAGCAGGTGTCATGATGATTATTATGCTAGATTCCAACATGGCTGACCACAGTTCGAGTCCCAAATCAGGTGGCTTGAGACTCATGTAGAGTGGCCAACCCCCCTAGGACAGTGATTTCTCATTTTCCTTTTCAATGTCTCTGTCTCTCTCATCTCCAGCAAGCGCACATGCCCTATGGCAAAAACAAAACAAAACAAAAGAGCGAAAGAAAGAAAACGACGTTGTGTGTGCATATGTGTTCAAAATCCTGCGAAGTGAATGAAGAAGGGACTGCGGCATGGCCATCCCCCTAGTCAGTGACTTCTAGCCTTCCCTCTCAATGACTTTCTCTGGCAAGTGTACAAACCCTATGGCAAAAAAACTTAAAAATTAAAAGAAAAAACCTGCAGAGCATTCAAAAATGGGCAGGAACAGGAATGGCTACACATTTTTTAAAAGGAAGGCAGGCATATGTAAGAGCCACCATTTTTTCCCCAATGAGGTACTCTTAAATCAACATGAGGGGTAGAGGAGTGAATTAAAACAGAAAGCAGTCATTTTACCAGACAGAGAAGTCACAGTCTGAGACTGGGCCACAAGAATGGCCACATAGTAAGGAAGAAAAATCAGAGAAAGACATTCAGAGGGTGAAGTCCCAAATCTGTGTGTAAATTCCCTTCATATCTGGCTAACTCTCTGCTCCTTGAGGTAAAAAATGAGACTTGAAAAAACAAAACCAAAATCAAACAAAAAAAGTCCATTAACACACCAACAGAAAGCAGTAGCTGGGTGCTACTTTTAAAAGTAGAGTTCAAGACAAGCAATTCCAGAAGAAAAAAGACATGCTTCATATTGATTCATAAGGGATTAACTCAGCAAGAAATCAGAACCCCAAATATCAGAGCTTCAAAATTCATGAAGGATGGGGCCAGCAGGTAGCATGGTGGTTATGGTGCTAGACTTCCACATGGCTGATCACAGTTCGAGTTCTGGAACTGGTGGCTTGCTTTCTCAGTTTCACTCTCTCTGATGACTACAGCAGTTAAAAAATAATAATAAATAAAACAAAAATAAATAACTCTTTTAAAAAATACATGAGGGAGAAAATGACAGAAAAATCTCACAGAGATTTTAACACCCTTTCATAAACTGTAATAAAAAAGACAAAATTGGGACCAGCAGATGGCATAATGGCTATGTCACTGGACGCCCATGTAGTCGACCACGGTTCAAGTCCCGGACCTAGTGGCTTAAACTCATGCCGGGCACATGTGCGTGTGTGCCCAAGATCCTGAGAGTAGAATGGAGGAGAAGGGATTGCGGCGTGGCATCCCCCCCTGGGGGGTGATTTCTTGCTTTCTGTCTGTCTCTCTCTGTCTTTCTGGCAAGTGCAAGTGCCCTATGGTAAAAACTCTCCCCCCCTCCCCCCAAAAAAGACAAACTCAAGAACAATTTCAACTGAATTGAGTTCCCTATATAGAACATTCCACTCAACACTATATACAGAATGTTCATTAAGATAGACCATATTCTGGACCACAGACAAAGTCTTAATATATAAGCTCAAAAGAAACTAAAGTATAAAAATTTTTTTTTCAGGGACCTGCAGTTAGCGTAATGGCTATGTCACTGGCCTCCCACGTAGTTGACCGCAGTTCAAGTCCCGGACCCAGTGGCTTAAACTCACGCCGGGCGCATGTGTGTGCGTGCCCAAGATCCTGAGAGGAGAATGGAGGAGAAGGGATTGTGGCATGGCCATCCCCCCGGGGGGTGATTTCTCACTTTCTGTCTCTCTGTCTCTGTCTATCTGGCGAGTGCATGCGTCCTATAGCAAAAACTTCTCCAAAAAAAACAAATTTTTTTTTCAGAGTTTAGGACTTTTAAAAATTTGTCCTAAAGTCATTGAAGCAAAAGTCATGTTAAAACATTCTGCTTTCCTTTACAATTGAGTGTAAAAATATTTTTGAAACGGGACCAGCAGTTAGCATAATGGCTATGTTGCTGGACTCCCATGTAGCTGACTGCAGTTCACGCCCCAGACCCGGTGGCTTAAAACTCATGCCAGTTGTGTGTGCGTGCGTGCCCAAGATCCCGAGAGGAGAATGGAGGAGAAGGGATTGCAGTGTGGCCATCCCCCCTGGGGGGTGATTTCTCACTTTCTGTCTCTCTGCCTGTCTCTGTCTGGCTGGCAAGTGCATATGCCTTCTAGCAAAAACCTCTCCAAAAAAAAAAAAAGTAAAAAAAAAAAAAATTTTTTTTGAAACTACAAAGTATACAAAATATGTTGACTGCCCACATGAAATTTATCAGTAAGATGTTTTTATAAAGAGAGAGACTTTTGCTATGTACATGCACTTGCTGGAGAGACAGAGAGGGGTAGAGAGACATAAAGCAAGAAATCATCCCCTGGGGGAAGGTCACACTGCAATCCCTTTTCCTCCATTTTTCTCTCAGAATTTTGGGTACATACACGCAAACACCCAGTGTGAGCTTAAGCCACTGGATGCAGGACTCAAACCACAGTCAACTATGTGGGAGTTCAGCGGCATAAGAGAGAGACACCAGAGAGATAGAAAGACAGAGGGAGAAAGTGTGGTCGTACCACAATCCCTTCTCCTCCTATGCTCCATCCTGCCAGGATTTTGTGCATACACACACACATGCTTGTGTTTTTCAAGCCACTGGGGCCAGGATTAGAATCTCTCATCATCCATGTGGGATTTGGCTCTTAACTGTTAGGTCAAGGGAACAGTCAAAACATTTAAAATCTTGAAAAGAAAACCACAGTTTCTTTCCCCCAAAGCAACATCTTGCAGATACCATATATAATTTTTGAAAAGAAATATTAATGTTAGATAAAAATAAATAATTCAATAAATAATTCAGGGCTAACAAGTGGCATGATGGTTGAGGGATCTGGATCCCACATGGCCGACTACACAGTTTGAGTCCAGGACCTAGTTCCTTGAAAGATGCTGGGTGCACATGCACGTGTGCCCAAAATCCCAAGAGGAAAATGGAGGAGAAGAGATTGTGGCATAGCCACCTCGCTTCCCCCACCCCGCCCCCCGTGGCAAACACGTTCTCACTTTTTTGTCTCCCTCCAGCAAGTGCACGCAATCTCTTGCAAGTTAAAAAAATAATAATTATAATCCAGAAAATACATTTGGTTCAGAAACAAATACATTTCAGTCAAACCTCAGACTTAGTAGAAATTATGGCTGATAGCTAGTTCAGCCACAATGATTTGATAACTAAGGAGCAAATCAGTTAGCACTGTGTTTTTTTGGAGAGGTTTGTGCCATAGGGCATGTGTGCTCGCCAGACAGACAGAGAGAGAGAGACAGAAAGTGAGAAATCACCCCCCAAGGGGATGGCCACGTCGCAAACCCTTCTCCTCCATTCTCCTCTCGGGATCTTGGGTACGCACACACACGTGCCCGGTGTGAGTTTTAAGCCACCGGATCTGGGACGTGAACCACGGTTGACTACATGGGAGTTCAGCGACATAGCCATTACGCCGACTGCTGGTCCCAGCACTGCTTTTAAACAGGAAAATTAGACACTGAACAAATTCAAGCAGACATTGAAGGTCTGATCCAAAAGACCTTCATAGAAACTTACATACAAAATCAAGAGTCTTAAATATTTAAAAATTTTATTTGTATGGGGACCAGCAGTTAGCATAATGGCTACGTAGCTAGACTCCCATTTAGTCGACTGCAGTTTGAGTCCCGAACCCAGTGGTTTAAACTCATGCCAGGTGCATGTGCATGCAGGCCCAAGAACCTGTGAAGAGAATGGAGAAGGGAGTGTGTGGCATTGTCATCCCCCCTACGGGGCGATTTCTCATTTTTTCTCTCTTTCTTTCCAGTGAGCATATGCATCCTATAGCAAAAACCTCTCAAAAAAAAAATTATATTTGTATGACAGTTAAGATTTAATAGGACAATAATTTCTCCAGTAAGTCTTCCTTAATTCTTCCGTTACATGCCCTTCCTTATGTTCTCACTGCACCCTTCATTTTCTCTAATGTAGCACTTACTACGCTATTCATAAATGCTTATTCACTTCTATGTATACAACCCCTCTATATAACCGTCAGCAATTGCTTCCTATCAATGCATTCCTAATATCTTACATAGTGATAAGCATATAGTAGGCACTCAGTAAGTATTTGCAAAATGAAGTTTTTAAAAGTTTGTCATGTGACAGAAGTTGTAAACAACCTATACATTCAGTCTTATTTCCTAAAATG